AATATAGAAGACCCTAACCCTAAATTAATCGAAAAAATTATTAAATATAAGTTGCCTCCGCTTTAGACGTCCCCCATTTTTGGTAATGTGCCTGACTGTATGATCTACATAAAATGCACCCCGTTGATCATTAATCAAATTCTTTCCTTTACGAATTAACGTTAAATATAAATAAAATTATGTTAATAGCGAAAGCGACAAGTACGTTTACATATGCAAGTTTATAATCATTTACAGTAACAATGCATATTAACATTATAATATTTGTTAATTAGCACCGGAATTTTCTGAACAATTGGAGGCATATTTAAAATTCCATCGTATAAAATTCTTTGATTACTCGCAATATAGTGATATCAAACGTATTGGTGAAGGAGGGTACGCAGTCGTTTATTCTGCAACATTTGATGGACAGACTTATGCATTAAAAAGTCTAAATAATAATTTGCGATTCGAAGATAAAGAGTTCAGACAATTTAAGCGTGAGGTATGTGGTTAATTTGTTGTTTAATATTAGGATCCAAACTCTCATTATCCTATCATTGCACATAGGTTATGTGTCTTTATACGATTGATAATCATCAAAATCTTATCAAATTCTATGGAATCGCTAGAGGTAAGAGGTTAAAATTGGCCATATGTTACTGATAGATTATATAAGCTGCCCTCTTCTTACTAAAACCTGTAGAAAAATGTCAAAATCTAATGATTTTGGTCTGAGTATTTTTGGTATAATTCAAATAATCATGCTTAAGATACAGTATTTGAATGTTGCTAAAATATTCTTATGTTTTGTTAAAGGGTTAATTAGTATTCTGTAATATACTATATATGTATACTGGGATATTTGTTAGGAAAATAACAAAAGTTGGGCTGCTGTCAATGAAATAGGCAGATTACCATTTTAAAAAATTAATACCTTAACTTTCATAACTAATATATTAATGAATTTAAAGCTACTTTAATGATTTAAGCTTTCTTTAGATGATTGAATAATTAAAGTAGCTTTAAATTCATAGAGATATAACTATGACAGTTAAGGTATTTATATAACAGTCCGTTTGATGTTGCTAGGCATTCAGTTTTATTTCATTTACAGTGGAACACGATCAAAATTTTGGCACGCAATTAAAAAAAGAAAATAAATATCAGCGGTTTGGGTTATTGCACAATTGAATAATCTAATTTGAATCATTCGGCTCCAAATTATCATATTTTGTAACATTTTTCTAACAAATCTTGATATACTGTAATTAGGGTTGTTAAATTACCGTAATTTTACGTAATTTGTGTAAGTTTCGGTAAATCAATATTTCATGTAATTGTAACTTTGAGCACATGATGAATTTACGTGTTATAAATTTTCATCATTTTCATCATTTAAATGTCATAATATTTGAGTTACAATCGAATCATGTATTCGATGAAATAATACAGGCTAAACTTCTGTAATGCTGGTACACAAGAGGAAAATTACATGAAATCTAATTACTGAAACTTACATGAAATGTAAGAATGTAATTTTTTTTTTTCGTAACCAACCCTATAATTGTAATTTCGCAATAATCATAACCTTACGTTTCGAACGAATTTTAGATTTTACTACGGGTAATTTCATATTGGTGTTACAGTATGCTAATGGTGGTACCCTC